AATCGGCAGCCAATGAAGCGATTTTAATACAGGTGTTATGTGGTCTGACCTAGGTGTTCCGGTGACCAGTCTGGCTGCTGCATTTTGAACCAATTAAAGCTTCTGAACTTGGTACAGAGGTAGCCCCATGTAAAGTGCATTACAAAAATCTAGATGAGAGATTACCAGAGCAAATACTACTGCTTCAAGGTCCTTTCGGTCCAGGTAGGGACGCAGTTGGTGAATCAACTGAAGTTGGTACCAAGCACTCCTAGCCATCGCATCCACTTGAGATAAAAACTGTAGAGATGAGTCCAGAAGTACTCCCAAACCATGAACATTGTTCTTTAGGGGGAGTGTGACCCCATCCAGGACTGGTTGACAAAACTCCTACCCCGGACTTGGGGTACCTATCGTGAGTACCTCCATTTTCTGCAGATTTAGCTTGAGTTTGTTTTCCCTCATCCAGCTCATTACCGACCCAAGGCAGGCATCCTGGGGAGAGATGCCATCCTTAGTTGCTGCAACAGTCAGAGACATAGAGAAATAAATTTGGATGTCATCAGTATACTGATAGCACTGAGCCCCATGTCTCCAGATGATTTCACTCAGCAGCTTCATGTAAATGTTAAACAGCATGAGGGATAGAATGGCACCCTGTGGGATGCCAGATGTCCACTCTCTTTTAGAAGAGCAACTATTCCCAAGCATCACCATCTGGAATCTGCATGGGAGGTAGGATCGGAGCCACTGAAGCACAGTGCCCCCAATGCCTAACTCCCTCAGGCGTTCCAGAAGGATATCATGGTCTATGGTCTCGAATGGTGCTGAGATGTCCAAGAGCACCAACAGGTTCACACTTCCCCTGCTGATGCCCAGACGGAGATAATTGACTAAGGTGACCATGGCATATCTTGTCAGATGAACTTCAACTCTGTATCCCGCCCTGAAGCCGGTTTGAAATGGGTCCAGATAATTGGCTTCTTCCAAGACAGCCTGGAGCTGGAAGGCAACTGCCCTCTCAATCACTTTACTCAAGAATGGTGAAAAGGAGACCAGCCTATTGTTATTTTCCACCAGGGGGTCGAGGGAGGGTTTTTTCAAGAGTGGTTTTACTACCGCTAGTTTTAAGTTAGATGGAAAATTTCCCTCTCTAAAGGATGCATTAATCATCAGTTGTAATAATATTTTTACTGCATTGCCTCCCTAGGGAGTCAGCCATGATGGGCAAGGATCAAGAGGGCATGTTGTCCTCCTTACTCTTCCAAGAAGCTTGTCCACTTCATTGGTATTAACAAACTCAAAATGATCCAGTTTAACACAGTCCACAGAGTCCCTGGACATCTCTCTTACTGATTCTGTTACAATGCCCACATCCAGATTGACCCTTATCTGAGAGATTTTATTTACAAAAAAGTCATTAAAGGCATCACAGCAGGCTTTAGTTGGTGCTAATAATGGGTTCAGGGTGGGAGGCAATTGAGTTAATTCTTTAACCACCCTGAACAGCTCTGTGGTATGAGACTTTGCAGATGCAATACATGCAGCATAGAAAAATTTCTTTGCTGCATCAATTGCCACTCCGTAAGAATTCTATGGCATGTCTTGTCAGATGAACATTGATTTTCCCGCCAGCAGCGCTCTAGTAGTTGCACAGCCAGCTTCATTTGATGAAGATTTTCCATGTTTTTTATTTGAAGCAGGTTGGAAAGGATATGTGGTGGTAGTGTCCAAAATTGAAGGAAAAAGATTCATATTACAATTGCAAAGATATTGAAAGTTGATTATGAACTGAGACCAGAGATCTACCTATTGAATATGCCCAAATCACAAATAGAGAGAAAGCATTCACGAGTCCTACTTTACATGATAACAGCCGCAAGGATTCTTGTGGTGCAGAGATTGAAACAAAAGGAGCTACTGATAATTGATGAATGGCTAATGAAGTTAGCAGAAATGAAGGAAATGGACATCTTAACAGCCTGGTTGAATCAGAGACACAGAGATCACAGAGATAGAGTGGTTCCCTATAATCGAATTTTGCAGTAGTAGATGGAGTTAGGTTGCAGGTATAAAAAAAGTGAGGAATTGTGAAGTATAAGGAATATTTACTCAGGAAGGAAAAATTGTGAAAAGGAATGATAAACCCTGTGAGTACAGTATGGATAAGTGAA